TGTATAGTATGACTAGTACATTAAAATTATTTATGCTTAGATATTTTATCCAATATGAAAGAAAATTTACTACCAAATTATTACAGTGGATATTAGTATGATATGCTTACTAATTTATTCAGTAGAGATAATATTAGGGAAGCATGATTTTAGTATCTTTTGTTTCACTAAATTGGAATGCTGCTATTACAAGACAAATAAACAAAGGTGATGTGGCCACTCAAAAACCGTAATAGCTCTTCAGTTAGCCATGATGCAAGCTCAAATATATTCCACTATATTAACAAAGTCCTATTCCAATTGTTCATCAAAATGTTTTGGTGGAAACTGTCAGGCATATTCCAGTATAGATCTCCCATTCAATGGCTAGAAGATAAGAGAGCAGCAGAAATGAAAGAGGAACCTTACTTTGTGTTAAGGTGTAGTCTAGATTGAAGAGATGACCCAGACAGGCTTTGTGTGAGCAGTGAGGCTGTTTATTCACTTGGGCGCGAGCTCACATAAAGCCTGCTTGGGTCGTCTCTTCAATCCAGACTGCGCTGTAACACACATTTGATGCCGAAACCTGGGATAGGGGAACTCCTTTGGGAGTCGTGTCCCCTAACCCCATCCCCCGACTTCTTGAAGAGACCCGGTCGCGACCTCGGTACCTTGGACTGGCTCTGTAAAAGCCCCGCCTCTGCCTTCGAATCGGTAAGAGACCTCCGTCCTTTCTCAAACTTTCCTTTTCTTAAAGAGAGAGCAGAGGACACTCGCTGTCTGTGTTTCCTAAATCTAACATTGGTCATGGATTATCTCCGGGAAGATAGTCTTCCCTAGGTGAGTGGTCAACCACAGGGACGTGCGTCTTGGTCACTCATCCACTGCACAATTCAGGACTCCAGTTGGGGACACCTGCTGAAGGTCCTTGTGGTTGCTCTCCTCCTAATTTCTCTCTCTCTGTCTCTCTGTTTCTTTAGTCCTCCACTGTCCATCATGGGCAACCTTCTGCCCTCCATTCCTCCTCCACCTACCTTGGCCTGTGTCCTTAAGAATCTAAAACCCCTGTGTCTTTCACCTGATCTGGAACCTAAACATCTCATTTTCTTCTGTAATATGACGTGGCCCCAATATAAATTAGACAGTGGCTCTCAGTGGCTGGAAAACGGCACTTTCAATGTCTCTGTTTTGCAGGACTTAGACAACTTTTGTCACAAAATGGGCAAATGGTTTGAGGTTCCATACATCCAGGCATGTTTTACACTTCTGTCCCTCCCCAGCCCTTGTTCCCAATGTGATTCATCTCAAATTCTCCTTCTGTCCTTCCTGTCTGCTCCCCTACCACCCTCTGGCGACAGCGAGTCCTCCCTGTCCACAAACCCTTCCGATATTTCTCCTTCCTGCCCGTCCAACTCCGGTCCCAACCCTTCTCCAGACCCCAGTCCCCCTT